CCTCTGTAGATTGGAGATGAGCTATAATTCTAAGGGATACTGGCAAGCCTAGGCAAGTGTCATGGGGGGGAGGAAGTGAAATTTTTCCCTACTGCAGTGTCGTCCCCAAAAGGCATGACTTGATTGTTTTATCTTGTGTGGAAAAGTCAGAGTTTAGCCGGTTTGGCTACACATATGAGAAAGAGAGGGAATCCTGTCAGAGTGGAATGTTGGTGTCTGAGAGACTGGTGTGACACCAAGCTCGCTAGTTATATTTTACAAGTTCCTTTTTCCAGAATCCTATTTTGTTCTTATTTTTATTTTTTAATTTATTTATACATTCCTCCACTTGCAGCTGCTGGATGACCTTGGGCAAGCCATAGTTCTGTCAGGCCATAGTTCTGGCACTCTCAAGGACAGTTCGTGGCAAGGACAGTTCGTGGCACTCTCAAGGACAGTTCTGTCAAGAGCTCTCTGAGCCCCACCGACCTCACAGAGTGTCTGTTGTGGGGAGGGGAAGGGAAAGGAGTTTGTAAGCCGCTCTGAGACTCCGAGTGAAGGGCAGGGTATTAATCCAATCTCTCCTCCTCCTCTGTAGTTGGAGATGAGCTGTAATTCTAAGGGATACTGGCAAGCCTAGGCAAGTGTCATGGGGGGGGGAAGTGAAATTTTTCCCTACTGCAGTGTCGTCCCCAAAAGGCATGACTTGATTGTTTTGCTCCCTGTGTACCCCAGTCCCCCAAAATTTGGTGAGTCGTCCCCAAAAGGCATGACTTGATTGTTTTGCTCCCTGTGTACCCCAGTCCCCCAAAATTTGGTGAGGGCCACCAACAATGTAGATTTCTCCTGTTTACACTGCCTGCTCTTTTATCTCCAGAGTGGGTTCTATTTTTTGCTCAAATTACCAGGTATACCTTATGTGTGTAGAATCTATTGAGATCTGGGAACTGACTTTTTGTACATCCTCTGAGTGATTTAAACTCTTGGCAGTGCGGTTCACAGTTTCTCCCTGTGAATAGACACAGTCTGTTGATTTCCTTGCTGGGTAACAGAATGTTTTAAGAGCTACTATATTTACTTGGTTGTTACGAATTTTTAATTGATGTTTCTGGGCTTGGGTTTATTCCCATGCAGATTGGGGCGCGGTTTCTCATCAGAAACACAGGCCAGAGTCAAATTAGGATTGGGAAGACCCAGGTTCAAATTCTCCACATTTGCCATGGAAGCTTGCTGGCCGACCTTGGGCCAGTCATGCACTCTCGGCATAACCTACTTTGCAGGGATGTTGTGAGGATATAATGGAGGAATGATGTAAGACACTTTGGGTCCCCACTGGGGGGGGAAGTAGGGTATAAATCTCTACCTACACAGAGTTTCTTCTTCTGAACCTGGAGGTTCCATTTAGTCGTCATGGCGAGCAGCAATCGATGGATCTCGCCCTCCTTGAATCTGACTAAAAAAGGTAAAGGTTAAGGTCTCCCTTGCTCGAAAGCCAGTCGAGTCCGAGCCTAGGGTTGCGGTGCTCATCTCCGTTTCAAAGCGGAAGAGCCAGCGCTGTCCGAAGATGTTTCCGTGGTCATGTGGCCAGCATGACTAAACACCAAGGCGCACGGAACGCTGTTCCCTTCCCACCGAAGTGGTCCCTATTTATCTACTTGCAATTTCTTGCTTTCGAACGGCTAGGTTGGCAGGAGCTGGAACTAGAGACGGGAGCTCACTCCGTCATGCAGCACACTCAGGTCTCGAACTGCTGAACTACCGACCTTCCACAGCCTGCAGTTCAGCGTCTTAACCAGACACTAAATGATGTTATGGCTGTAATCTAGTCTCTTTTGTTATTGTATTGTTCTATGGGTATCTAGCACACATCTGTATATTTTTTCATACCAGACTGTCTTGGGATTATGTGTTGTTCTTGTGGAATGCATGCAGACATGTCCTTAACTGGCTGTTTTCTCCTAGGGAGCTAATGGCAGATGCTACCTGCTGATACTCCCACTAGGAGGCCTGCCGGCTTCTAAAATTAGCCCTTGGAAGAGTGGGGGCCTCTATTCCTCTCAACCCTCTTCCGCTCCTGCCATTACTGAGAGCCCCTGGAATGCAATTAAATTCCACCAAGAGACGGGCAGATGGTTGGGAGTGACTTCAAGAGTCCAACAGGCTTGTCAAACGGGTACTGCTTCCCCCAAAGAGTGATTAAAATGTAGAATTCACTGCCACAGGAAGTGGTAGTTTCAAGAGGGGATTGGATAGACATACGGAGCAGAGGTCCATCAGTGGTTGTTAGCCACCAGGTACAGATGGAAGACTCTGTCTGGGGCAGTGATGCTCTGTCTTCTTGGTGCTTGGGGGCAAGAGTGGGAGGGCGCTCTGTCTTTTTGGTGCTTGGGGGCAAGATTGAGAGGGCTTCTGGAATTCTGGCCCTGCTGGTGGACCTCCTGATGGCCCCTGGGTTCTGGCCACTGCGTGAGACAGAGTGTTGGTCTGGATGGGCCATTGGCCTGATCCAACATGGCTTCTCTTATGTCTGGGGCAGTGATGCTCTGTCTTCTTGGTGCTTGGGGGCAAGAGTGGGAGGGCTTCTGGAGCTCTGGCCCCACTGGTGGACCTCCTGATGGCCCCTGGGTTCTGGCCACTGCGTGAGACAGAGTGTTGGTCTGGATGGGCCATTGGCCTGATCCAACATGGCTTCTCTTATGTCTGGGGCAGTGATGCTCTGTCTTCTTGGTGCTTGGGGGCAAGAGTGGGAGGGCTTCTGGAGCTCTGGCCCCACTGGTGGACCTCCTGATGGCCCCTGGGTTCTGGCCACTGCGTGAGACAGAGTGTTGGTCTGGATGGGCCATTGGCCTGATCCAACATGGCTTCTCTTATGTCTGGGGCAGTGATGCTCTGTCTTCTTGGTGCTTGGGGGCAAGAGTGGGAGGGCTTCTGGAGCTCTGGCCCCACTGGTGGACCTCCTGATGGCCCCTGGGTTCTGGCCACTGCGTGAGACAGAGTGTTGGTCTGGATGGGCCATTGGCCTGATCCAACCTGGCTTCTCTTATGTTCACATGTTCAAGCCCCCGGGACACTTTTTATTTCTGTATATTTTCCCTTCCTTCTCCTTGCAGGATGATTGAATGGGTCTCTTGGCCGCTGGGGAAGAACATAGACAAGTGGATCATAGCCCTGCTGAAGAGTTTGGCTGCTGTGAAGAAGTTCAGCATCTTGATCGAAGTCACCCTTTCCAAAATTGAGAAGGTCTGTTTCTCTAGCAAAACATTTCCTGCTTTTCCCTCATGTCACGGGGTTCTGTGGTGGTGGAAATGGCCCTCAAGTGTCAGATGGCGACCCTCATTGGGTTTTCAGGGCAAGAGATGAATCGAGGCGGTTTGCCGTTGCCTGCCTCTGCGTCGTGGCCCCAGATCTCCGTGGGTAGTCTCCCATCCACGTACTAACCATGGCCAACCCTGCTTAACTTCCAAGGGCTGATGAGATTGGGCTGCTCTGTGCTATTTGGGCTGAGGCTGACTTCCTGGGTGGTGGGAAAGTACTGTCATGATGCAGCCAACTTCTACACTCCCGACTTTGGCAGCCTGGAACGACAAAATAGGGGATCAATTCATCATGAGCAGGATCAGGGGTAATTTCCTGCAGGAGCGCACAGGAGCGGAGCTCCGGTAGTAAAGAGCCCAGGGGGCGGGCACATGCAACAAGCCCCACCCCCTGCTCCCAGCAGCCCTCATTCAGAGCAAGAAGCAGCCAGGTACGTTTCAGAGCTCCCCCCGGTCCAAAAAAGTCCAGTGGCACCTTTAAGACCAAGTGTTATTCAGGTACAAGCTCTCCCTCCTCTGCGAGGACAGATCTGCACGTTCCCCCCCCCCCCGATAGCTAGCAATCCAAAACAGTCCAGTGGAGCCTGAGCGGTGGGTGTTGCCTTCTGACACACTTCCGGTGAGGTCAGGGGGTGTGGCATATGCAAATGAGTCATGTTAATGAGCTCCTGCACCTCTTTTTCTACGAAATGACCCCTGAGCAGGATCACCAATTAATTCGAACAAAGTCGGGGTGGTTCTACCAAGGTTTATTCCAAGTTTGTCCTCCTCTGGTCCCCACTCCCCAGTACTCTTCTCCCTTCCAACCCAAGTTGTCATACGTGGGTACACTTTTAACACCCCATTTGCTCCGACATCTTGTTGGGGTTCCTCATGTTTGAAGAAGAAGAGAAAAGATTGGGTTTATACTCTGCCCTTCACTACCCAAAGGAGTCTCAGAGCGGCTTACAATCTCCTTCCCCTTCCCCTCCCTAGAACACGCACCCTGTGAGGTACGTGGGGCTGAGAGAGCTCTTTCGAGGACTGCTCATGAGAGAACAGTCTTGAAAGAACTTGTGACTGACCCAAGGTCACACCAGCAGCTGCATGTGGAGGCGCGGGGAATAAAACCCAGTTCTCCCAGATTAGGGTCTGCGCTCCTAACCACAACACCAAAGTAGCTTCACCTCTCTTCTTCTTTGACCCACGTGTCTTGGGCTAACAAGAACTTACTTTTCTATCTGACAATAATTAATGCATTATGTTGTCGGAGGCTTTCACACCCGGAGTTCATTAGTTGCTGTAGATCTTCTGGGTTGTGTGGCCATGGTCTTGGCATTGTAGGACCTGACGTTTCGTCAGCAGCTGTGACTGGCATCCTCAGAGGTATAACACAGAAAGATGGAGTACTCTCTGTGTCAAGGTGAGAAGAAAAATGGTAGGCAGGTAATTTATATCTACGCAGGAAAGCTCCTCCTTCAGCAACTCACAGCCTGGGAAACTCCTACAAGATAATGACTCAGCCCTACCCCACCTTCCTGAGTAGATATAAATTACCTGCCTACTACAAACTCTGTTTGATGCCGG